TCACATTAAGACAGCATATTAGAACAACTCTAAAGGCACATCACAGGAACATAACATAATAAAGGGTGCACAAAGTGATGCTTTGAAATAGTCTGTATTGATGGCTTTATTTCTTAAGCGAACTTTGCAGACAAACCTTGCTTTCCCTTCAGTCTCTGAACAAAACCTCTAGTCCACTTTTTAGGTGCCATATTGAGAGGAATCCCAGAGAGCTCACTGTTGATGTACAGGGCACACTGCAGCTGAAGGAAGTCCCAGTCTTCCATAATCATCTGTGTTTTGGCTCCCGATATCCTATGCTAAACAAAGTAAGTCAGCCAATTTAGAAAATAATCAGGTAGGAAGCTAGCAAAGAATTTTTCTGATAATGACTACAACTATTTGTTTTTGTGAAAGCAGTATTAAATAACATTTCATAYCCATTTTAATATTAAAGGCAGTAGAAAAGGCCTATCTTAATAACAGACTGTGGAATAAAGGGAAAAAAATAAGGACAAAAGAAACAGGCAGGCCTAAAAGTAGCAAGAGAAAGCTCAACAGTAAGCAAAAAGGTAATTTTTGAAAGTTACAGAATGCTTTCCCTATTTAATCATTCAAAAAGTATAACTGTCATGGGAAGGAGAAAGGAAAGAAAAAAAAAAGCCAGCTCCATTTGAAGCAAGTTTCTCTGTTGCAATAAAGGCTTGAAGGACGTAGCACTGCAGTATACACTACTTTTTACATGGTAAGCAGAGACACATGTAAAAAGCAGTTTTAGCCAGATCTTTCCCAATGACAATCCCAGAGCTGGAAGGAGACTGACCTTTTTGATTACGTCATTGAGGAAAATGATCTCGGTCAGTTTCATGGTTAAGTCATCTTCGTTGGTGCCAGACTTGAGGTCACTCACAACAGAGGGTCTGATGCACAGTGGGGGCACTAAGAGCCGTGTGAGGATCAAATCTGAAGGTTTCCCTGCTTCTGGATTCATCAGAAGCAGAGGGATGTCTTCTGCCTGGATTCTTTTGAAGAGGTTCAACACTACTAATGGATTCAAGTTTTCCTATCAAATACRAACAAAACTATGTTTCAGCTCACCCATTCTTGTTTTTCTTCTGCTTTTCCCTCTTTCATTAGCAGAGTTTACTTCTCACTATGTTACTCTCTTTTTTAAACAGTTCATCAGAGCATTTTTATAGTCACTTCCCAAAGCACCTCAGTAAACTAGTTACAACATGCCTATAGTAAACTATAAACACCCAACTTTTAGCAGAAAATCAACATCTCTAAGTAATTTTTACAACTTCACTTCTCAGTAGAGCTACTGGTGTAGTTTATGAAACTTTTAGGTACACATTACTTTCTTCTACCCAATTATCTACACTAAAATATGTCTGGCTTGCAAAAAGCAGAAGGAAACACAGCTCCATACACACTAACAAATGAAAGAAACCAAAGCGCTTTCTGATTATCTGCATCTCTCCTCAGTACTAAACCCTTCTGAAGGACAGAAAAAAGCGTACCATAATCATCCTGCCTTAAAAATAGATCTACAAGTGTGTGTAAAGTTTCTACAGGTCTGCATTTATTCTCCTCTTCCTAGTTTTTAAGTTTCCTACACCAAAATTCATTTCCGCATAGCAACAAATGTTCCTAGTGCTTCTGCAAAATTACCTCCCCTCTTAATAGACAGAATGTTAGTGTGTTAATATATCCTGACACATAAGCTGCTCATTTTTGCAAAATTAGTGTTATTCTAAAGGTCAAATAAAAAACTTCATTTGTTATTTGTCTTTCTGGTGTACAAGACAGACCACTGCAAGGCTTAAGCAGATATATTATACACCTTTGAGAAGTACTATTTTATGCACAAATACTAGCAAGAAATGTAAATGATAATAAAATTTACCTGAGCTCTTCCCAGTAAGGATTCTACTTCTTTATTATGTTCTATGGCAGTTTCAAAGGACTGGAGAAAAGTGGATACTATTGGATCTACCACTTTCTTATTGGTCTTGTATTTTTCATGTATTATTTTCAATAAACCGCACTTCTTCACAGTTCCTGTGAGCAAACAAATGCTTTTCAAAATTAAAAACTTACAAAACAAGTCAATTTCTCTCCTAGAACTCGGTACTCCTTCTTGTATACCGYATATACTTGTATGCAGTATATACACAGTAATCAAAGTTCATCAGCTATAACTGGTTTCCTAAATTCATAAAACAAGAGGAGAACCACGGCCTTCCCTCTTGTACTCCTACTCCTACCTTGATCACAATGTGCCTTCTGAATACGAAAGAGGGGATTCTCTCACTCTTGACTTTCACTCAGCTTTCCTTCCATCAGAGATTTCTTTAATTTATTTTTAATGTAGAAGTTCTTCCAATAAAAACTAAGCTGTGCACTTATATATTAGCTAATTATTTAAAAATTTTACTGCATTAACAATTTTACTGTGACTTGAAGAACAAATCCCAGTGAAACTCAACCTTATCAAAACTCCAAGCTACACTTTTAGGACTAACCTTTCTACAAGACTAGAAATTTTAAACTTATAAAAGTTAATTTAATAAAATTATGAGGACTAAATTTACAGTCAACTTTACAAGAGCTACAAATGTTTCTAAGTTATTTACTATAGACAATAGCTCTCAGTGTTTAAAAACATGTTAAGCAGGCTTTCTGCCACTATTCAAGAATCAAATACTGATTATTGACACAAATGGCTATCGTGATCATGAGATAAAACAAGCTACTAGCATAACATTTATAGACACACATCAGATAGGAAAAATCTCTGAATTAAAAATGCAACTGCCTGTTTCTTAATAACCATTAACTGTGGAACCGACAAAGATATTCAAGATGTGGATGCCTATCACAAGAGGCCAAGGTAAAGCCAAGCACTGTTCACAGCTACCACGGTACCACTAGTGTGTACCCCAGCTACACACTACACCACTGTGTGCTCACATCAGCACTCACCATTAAAGGCACCACAGTAAGGACAAGTATTTTTCTTTCGGCACTTCTCGGACACCTTTTTTTTCAGTCCTCTCTTCTGAAGGTATGTCAGCCCAGGTCGCTTCAGGTAATCCAAAAACTGTTTTCTTTCTTCCATAGACAGCATGATACGGCAGCAGGTTTTGCAAATCATCTTAAATGTAAATTTAAGTAAACATGATTTAACAGAAACACGCAGAGTTGCAACAGAAATAAGCTTAAGAGGTACTGCCCGAACTTGAGTAGAACCAGCACGTACTTTTCTGAATGAAATAAACACTTTGGGTGGAGAGGCCAACCCACATGCCATAGGCTGTATCACAGAAGCAAGTAATGAGGAAATAATCTGCTCAAGGAGACAAACTGAAATCAAGTCTCTGCAGCATCTTAACAGTCCACAGAGGGCAAACACAGCTTTCATGCACTTGAAATTCCTAACTGTGATGTACAATTCAAACACTTCATTCAAACTATTACCAACAGATAACAGATTAAATTGATCAACCTAAGATCACACATGGCTTACCTAATTAACACTACTTAAATAAATGCACTTTAAAATACAGAAGATACCTAAGATGCATAAGAACCAAGAAAACTTAGAGTACAACCCTAATTTGGCAGTCTGAGCTACTAGGTTTCTATTTTTTTCTGATCATTTCTGTCCTACAGATTACCTACTGACAATGAAGCATAAATACATTTACCTGCAGGATGCCTATCACAGCCTTGAAATAACCAACGTGGAAGCATGGCAGTTCTAGGTCAATGTAGCCATAATGTCCCAAACAATCAGCTAGATTTTTTCCACAGGTTTCACAGGGACGGTCTTTTTCACTGGTTCCCTTCAGAAAAAAATAAAATATTGTTAAAAAAAAAAAAAAAAAAAAAAAAAAAAACTTTACCTATGATCAACANACTTTACCTATGATCAACAGCTAGCTGAAAAATGTTAGGTCTACAACAGAAGCTATGCTTACAACAGGCCCAGGGTGCTTTTCTTCCACCTCCCTGCATCAACAACATGTCAGTATCATTGCATTCAGTCCAAACTTTGGGGAAAAAGCAGTGTTATTAACTCATTCTRCTCATTTGAGCTGTTACAACTGAGGAGCAACCCAGCAGGACACCCTGCAGATGGGTCTTGGGTCTGCCAACAACCAAGCTCAACACACCTGTTAACTGTCTCAGAGTGGTTTCCCTGGACCACCCGGAGCCAGGAGGAAAGCACATATCAAAGTGCAGGTTTYGGGCCCACTCAGGGCATGTTCCACCAGCGCAACACCCAAGCAGCTCAGCACACCCGACAGCCTCCCTGCCTCAAACAGAGCCCTTTCCGCGTTTCCTAGAATGAACCGGCAGCYCCCCCGTTCCCCTCACGTTCTCCATAAGCACTCCGGCAGAGCTCCCAGCGCTAGCACAGGGAGCAGAGGGAAGGGGCTCTCACCATGCGGTGGTCGAGCACGCCGTACTGCAGGGGCGCGTGGTGGTTGTCCTGGCTGTACAGGTTCTTGCTCACCACCTGGATGTGCGCCTGCTGCCGCATCTCCTCCGGGGACTTCATGCCGAAGCAGATGTGGCTGCTGCGGGACGGGAAGGCACGAGGGCCCGCGAGTGAGCGCGCACAGCCGCGGCGCGGACACGCGCGGACGCGCTAACCGCGTCCTGACACCCCCGACGCCCTGCCCTGCCCCGCGGGGAGAGCCGCCCCACTCACATCTTCTTGGCCACGTCGGTCTCCCTGAACTGCTCCTTCACCATGATGGCGGCGGCGCGGCCGTTGCAGCGGAGCCACACGCGGCACCGCAGAGCCCAACGGCCGCGGGCCAGCCGCGCATGCGCCGCGCACTGGGGCTTGTTTGGGTGCTGCGCGGCGCTCTATTCCGGCTCTGGATTAGACAGCCCCACGCGCGGCTCCGCCCCCGGCGTGGCCCCGCCTCCCTGCGAAGCCCCGCCTCTCGGCGAGGCCCCCGCGGCCTTATGATTGGCGGCGGGAGAGGCCCCCTTCCTTTTCCCGTGTGCCCGCCRCCAGGGAGGCTGCCGCCATCATGGTGAGTCCGCGCCGCTATCCGCGCCGCATCGCCGCCATCCCGCGCCCGCGGCCCCCGTGCGCCCCGCGCGGAGCCGCGCCCGCCCGCGCCGTGCCGCCCGTGCCGCCATGGCCGGGCGCGCTGCGCCCGCTCCCCTCCGGGCCGCCCGCGGCCTGCGCCTGCCCCGTGCCCGCCCGCCCGCCGCGGCGCCGGCCCCGGGGCCCGGTTGTGCCCGGTTGTGCCCGGTTGTGTCCGTGCCCGCGGCGCCGCCTCTCACYCTGCGTGTCCCCTAGAACGACACGGTGACCATCCGGACCAGGAAGTTCATGACCAACAGGCTGCTGCAGCGCAAGCAGATGGTAAGAGGTGCGGGGCGGCGGTGGCGCAGCCGTGGGCTGCTGGCAGTGAGAGCTTGTCGGCCTCTTCTTTGAGAGCTTGTTGCAGAAGCAGGTGCTTAAGGGCAGTGGTGGATGTTGAGGGCAAATCTGAGYGAGGCAGTAAGGGCTTGCTGGGGTGCTTGAAACTATTTACTGTTGGGAACACTTGAGTTTCAACGTAGGGGTTCTCCCTGCTGCGGAGGTGGCTGTTGGAATGCGCACCCGAGCCGGGATGGGGCTGGGAAGTCTGGTCATGAAAGTGTCTCTTGGTCTACTTAGGATTTCATGTAACTTGTGACAACTTTTTCTTAGGTGATTGATGTTCTTCATCCTGGGAAGGCTACAGTGCCCAAAACAGAAATTAGGGAAAAGYTGGCAAAGATGTACAAGACAACCCCTGATGTTATCTTCGTCTTTGGCTTCAGAACTCACTTTGGTGGTGGAAAGACAACAGGTTTTGGTATGATCTATGATTCCCTGGACTATGCAAAGAAAAACGAACCAAAGCACAGGCTGGCTAGGGTAAGTTTTGTGTTTAATGATGAGGGACTTCAAGTGTTCTGTGTTTAATAGAATTGATGTATTCTGCAAGTGATCTGGCAATGGCATGTGTTAATGTGTTTGTTGGCTAGGCTGAGACTGTTATGACGTTGTAGAGGGGACCTGGGGAAGGCAAAACAGATGTCACTAGATAAACTTAATATTAGGAAGTAACTGTACACACATTGATGTCTTGGAAGAATTAAAAGTACARGAGATAGGACTGGTATATACTCAATATCAGTTGTTATATGCTGTCTTATATTAACTGTATGGTGAGGTAACTTCAATATATAAACAATCTTTCAAGAACCTCAGAATAACTGAGTAGCTAACTTGTGAGCTCAAACTGTTCTTATTGTCAGTGAAGCCATGTTAAATAAGCAATTAACTTTTTCTTAACAGCATGGCCTCTATGAGAAAAAGAAGACTTCTAGGAAACAGCGAAAGGAGCGTAAGAACAGGATGAAGAAAGTCAGGGGCACAGCCAAGGCAAATGTTGGTGCTGGCAAGAAGGTAGGATGAAAACAACTATGAGCTGAAGATGTTGCCTTTGAAACACTGATAAATTATTCAACTGAATAACTTGGGTTTTCTTCCTGTTTCTTTTCACTTTTTCTACGGGATAACAGAAGGTAATCTGTGTGGTCATCTATAGCTACTTGTTGGCTCCRTAGCTTAGTTCAGCTCCTCACTGCTGCAGCTTAGCTGAAATAGCATGAAACAGCACTGCTTAAATGATTTTTTTTTTTGTGTTACTTTTCAAACTCAAATACTCTGCAGTTTACTAGAAGCATTGCTGTAATGCCATAACCCTGCTATGCAATATATGAATTTGCTGCACTCTTTAACACTTTTTTTCTCAGATTATCTGACTAACACTTATCCCACCCAGGTATGGTGTCCCTAGTAGTGCTATAAAGGAGATTTTCTTAAAGTTATGTCATGTGCTAGGTGGTGAGGTTTGTGTGGAAGCTTAAGTAAGGTAGGGTAAAAAAAGGCCTCCTTATTTGTCTGGAGTGACTGATTCATACTTTGGGGGGTTTCTGGTGCGAGCTATCATTGTATGACAAGCATGAAACGTGGAGGTGGCCTGAATTCCTTCCATTAAAAAAATAAAAGCTGAAGAGTAATATGGGAATAACCAGTCTCTTTACCAGCAGTAGCAGGACTTCGTGCAATATGGACAATAATTGAGTAAGCTTTGCAACCAAGTGAGTCCTTAAACACTTAATAAAGGAAGGTAGGGTGATGGGTATGGAGATTTAGTTTTGTAGCTGCAATAAATTACTTTAACATCTTGAAGTTTAATAATCTTGCTCTTGCTTTTTTTCCTACTTTCTTGGAATTCTTCATCAGAAATGAAGTATCTAGCAGGTACTACAAAGATGAGCATGGATGTGGTGACTGAGTTTCATATATGCATATAATATAGCACTGAAACACTTGATCTATCCCTTTCATGTAAGCACTGTACTGTTTTGCCTGCCTACCCAGTTGCATTAAACTTATTTTAGCCTGTAAGGGCTCTGATAAATACACAAATCGGCTTGATTCTATGTAACTCAAAACGTGTCTGGGTGATAGCAAACACTACTTTCGATACAAACAAAATAGCCCTAACCTAAGGAGCTCATACTGTAAGAAACTGAATGGCTTCCTTTGAGACACAGGGTCAAAATTGCACAGGTCCTGGCTCAAAGTAGTACAGYGCAACTGCATGTGTAACTTGACCTTTATGTTGAAGTGATTTCATATGTCTTAATGAAAACAAAATCATATTCCAGTGTAGTGCATTTAAGATGGCTGTGAGGAATCAAACAACTGTGCTTTTATCTGTTGATCTGAAGATGTGTGAATTTTAAGGCACACATGGTAGTGATTTGTCTGTGAAGCTAGATTCTACTCGCTTAAAAAAGAGTATAAATCTCATAAGTTACGTTGTTGGATAGGAAATAAGTTAAAATTACTTCTACCTACTAAATGCGAATCAAAACTGTTCTGTTTTTCTACTGTTTACAATGTAACAGTAGARAAGCTGACTGTAGCAGCAACCCTGTAACATGCACCCCTTTGTGCATTATGTAGTCCTTAGCACTGCACTGTTGTCAGTAGCACAGCTGTAGTCTCTGTTTAAGAATTCCTTACTTGAAAGTGGCTGGTACTGGCTTTTATACTTACCCCTTCTTAAAGAGTTAAATGACTGTCCCTTCTTAATACAGTTCAAGACTTAATACTTTAAGATCAGGGTCATGCACTGTGTGTGATAACTGCACAGCAGATGAGACTTTTGTAACAGGTATACTGTCTAAGAGAATTGTTTGGGGCCAGAGATTATTTCAATGTCTTAAATGATATTTTAGTTAGTAAGTATATCAAGGTTAGAGGGTATCTGTTAATCCTGGTGTTGTTAGGTAAAGCTTAATCTGAAGACAAAATCATTGGTATGTCTTTTGGAGAACCTGGCTGTGAAGTGCCTCACAGAAGCTTGCAGAATACCTCCTGTTTTCAGAAATGCATGTTTAAATGTAACAGTGTGGTGTAGTACAGCAATTTCTCACAGCCTTCTGTAGCAATGCTAGAATAATCAACCCAGATGTGGTATCCCCCTACATGAGTGAAATAGCTGCTGGGCTCATGTAGGCAGTAGACRGAGACCTGCACAGGCAGGTCTGAATGGGCCGGCGCCACATGAAAACTTGATATGCGGAACCCTACTGGAATTTTGTTCTGTGTAGTAGGGCCGGTATTGTAATGTTTGACTTCTCTTGCCATTTCTTCAGAATTCCTGTTTTTCTTGTATTTCCAAGAGAAGTTTATTAAGATTGTCTTAAAAGAAATGGAATCAAAATGGGAAACATGATCAGTCCTTGCAACAGTTCTGTGGCCCGTAGATAGAAATGAACATAAAACTGCATTTTGAGTATTGTAGGGCTTTGCAGTGCTATGGCCAGCTCCCATTTCAAGTTTTAGGAATGCATGAAGTCTAAGCTTTATCTCTCACAATAGTCAAAACTTGTGTGAATCAAAACTGTCACCATGTTTCACTATGCTGATCGGAAAAAAAATGATTATCAGCATGTCCTTTAAAGCTAAGTATTTCACAGTAGTAGAACTCAGATAAGACCATTTTTTAATCAATTAATGTCTTTTTATTTTAGTAAATGAACTTATTTTGGATGGAAAATGGAGAACAGGTAAGACTACAATGCCTTGTTAGACGGGATGTTTGGTAGCTCTATCGTTCTATGCGTTTCATGTTGATCCATGCAAAGGCCTTGGGATTTGTGCTGGTACAGAACCCAGTGCAGAGGTTAAGGCTAAGGAATATGTAAATATTTACAAATCTCTGTTGTTAATGCTTGTGAGTTGTGATTGTGGATTTGTCGCTTTAAGCTCTTAAATTAAACACCTAGTTAAGGGAAGGAATGGAATAATAAGTCTTACCAGTTTTCCTCTTAAACAATGGATTTATTTATTTATTGTGAGCTTGGCTTAAATGTTCCCTTTAAATGGTGCTAGTATATTATGGCTTAGAATAGGATAAATCATTTTTCATGTCTTGAATGGGTTTCTTTCTTTTCTGTCTTCTGGTTTAGAAACTATTTTCTATTTTCTTACCAGTACTTAAGTCAATTACACTGTGTATGAACCTGATAGCATTTTAGACAAGTCCTAAAATGCATTTGAATATTTGATGTTTCAAATGCATTTTAGCTATAGAGAGTAGCTATAGAAATGAGTTTAGATGTGTTGTGGGCAGAAGCAGTTGCAGACAAATCTTACTACAAATGTTCAGTGACTCATTTTAAAAATTCTGGGAGTTGGTGGACCGATCCTAGTTAGTTAGTCAGAAGGTGGACAAAACAATTCTAGCTTGGTCCTACAGAAATGGCGACTTAGGGTGTTGCTAGGTCTTATAAGCGCTATGAAATCTCCTTTCTTCCAAGACAAGAGGCACCGTGGTCACTTGATCAGTCGGTGAGGTGGTAAAAATAAGTTTGGCTAGTTTTCTGTAGTTGTATGGAATTGATTTTTTTTTTTTTTTTTTTTTTTTTCCCTTTACAGACTAAATTATTCTGGAAAGAAGAGCGAGAAGAAATATTCTGGAAAGAAGCTGCTCATCTGGCCTTAACATCAAATAAACTGTCTCAGTTAAATGTCTGTCTGCTCTTTTGTATTGATTTGAGTTCTGTAGTTTTATGAAGTACAAGAGGTTAATTTGCTGCAGTGCTGCTGTGGTATTGAAAGTTTTTCACAATTAAAACAACTCACTAGTATTTCTTGAGTCTGTTTTGTTTGTGTACTGATAGAACTTAGTTCCATTATAGGCAGTGATATTTAGCAGAGGTAGATGTGACTATCCTTTAACATGGAAACTGTAGTTTGGAAAGTCCTTGATGTGCCTTCATATCTTGAAGTAGTGGGTGCTACTGTCTCTGTTTGAGCAGCATCACACACATACCCATAGCTGTACAGTCCCTTTTTACCTCATAATTATGTCTCTGCTTTAATGGGGTTAGTAATTGTGACTAGTAATGAATTACCCTGTTAAAAAGATAGGGCCTGTTTTTTTTGTTGCTTTTGAATAGGGGCACTAAGAAGACTTGACTGAAGAGATGGAAAAGCAGGGAGTACTCTCTTCYGAAATGAGTAGTTTTGATTCTGAGTTTGTTTAAATTTAAAAAATAGCTATTTTACTTAGGAAATGCCTTCAAATATAGATGCCTGTAGTTTATTCTTACATAGGGATAAGCAAAGTATTGGTAGAGTGGTATTAAGTGAGCTAAGTTACATAACATGTGCCCTGAGCTAGTGTCTGTTGGTGTGTTTTGAATTACTGAAGAGAAATTTCTGACCAGTAAAGAGATTCTAAGGGTGTATGGAAAAGAGCTAATTCACATGAGACACAGTTTTAGCTTAGAACTAGATCATAAGCTTAAGGCAATACCTGCATTAACCCTCTTCCTTCAGGTAATACTCCACACCCAAGGACAGAATAGCCACATTAATAAATAAAACAGTTCAATCACTAGAGGGTAGTGTGAACACAGCAGTAAAAAAAAAAAAAAAAAAAAAAAAAAAAAGTGTAGTAGTATTGGCTGCTATTACCTGCTTCTGCGTGCTGGTGCCATTACATACTATGTCAATTTTGAAAACAGGACTTGTTCAAGAGGCAAGTAATTTACTGTGCTCTAGGTAGTTCATAAGAAATAAAAATTAAAAATTATACCTTTTTAATAGAAACTGTGGCATCAATAATCTCAAAATGATCTGCATGGAAAATAATGTTTTAAACTTTTGGCTGTTTCTCATGGTAAGAATTCAAGTTTTTCTGAAAAAGAGTGGAAAAATACCAGTAATTTTAGTGGGTGGAAAAAGGTGAGGCACTAAATGTTTCTATGTGTGTGTGTGTGTTACTAAAATCACAGCAATAAGTAACTCCTATGAAGGTAGTCTTTTACAATGCTTTTGAAAAAAGCAGTATTAGGAATAGGGGACCCCTTAATATGTTACTGCTTTTGATCTTCCTTGCTYGAGAAGGGATTAATTGGAAGCTAAGACTTAGATTGTCACCTGGTAACATTGATAAATTTGACCTAGCTGCCTTTCTGGTTGTAGGTTTTGTTTTTTTAAGTGTGTCCCTGTAGATTTTCATCCTCAATTGGAATTAAGTTTCCTTTTAATTTTTAGACTTTGCTTTCTATAAAGGCTGTGGCTAATGAAGCAGTTGCCAAAGCGGCTAAAAGGTCATCCTGAGCACTGGAAGATAGCTATATATTATGTATAAATATATATATCTTTTCTGAAGAACTGACCATTGGCTATGAGGATTGTAGTCTTTTTCCTTTTTAAAAATCTCTATCTTCCTTGCTGGTTACTGCTGTTCATACACCGATGATAAGTAAAGTCAAGTTGTGAGCTGAGGCAGAAGTACGTTGAGCTTATCTGTAATGCTGCTTAACAGAGTGGATTTTTAAGAAGTGGCCAAAAAGTGTGAATGTAGCACTTGACTGGGCACGGACGATGGTGGTTTATCCTTGTGTTCACTGGGTTAGAAGACAGCTTGTTATCTAATGAAGCTGCCAGACTTTAAATGGACCTGCATTAAGAAAAACACGTTCCACTGCCTTTCATGAGGGTCTGATTCGATTGTGCTGGAGCTATTACCCTGCTATCATTTTCTGTCAATTGTTGCTAGCTGTTGGTTAAGCCAGGCATCATTTGTGGTGATTTGATAACCGRTTTCCATCACAGGTAATAGGACTCGTTGACAACAGCTGACCTCAGATCAGTATCTCCTGCACAGTGTTGGCTCTAAGTAGAAGATTGCGTTTCAGTCTTTTTCAGTGTTTTCTGCCTGGTTCAACAGCTATGGTAAATACYGCAGTGCAAGCAGATTAATACCGCTAAATTAAGAGGAGGAGTAAGTTGGTTTATTTTGAGTGTCAATGGTAGTTTTTACAGGGTTTATCTCGTTTCTTTCATGGTTTCAGTCCTATTACAGTGCAGACATGGGAAGAGAAGCTTTTTTTTTCCTTTTTGAACATGATATATATAATGACAAATATAAACCTACTATATATTGAATTCTATCAGAGACAGCTGCTAAATGAGCACTAAACACAAGGCACAGTGTCTCTGAGATGTGGTCTTCAATGAACACTCCTCAATAACTTGAATGCAAGGAAAGCAAAACTGCAGAGAGCAGATCCTAGCGTCCGAGATGGGCTGATGATTTTCTTTAGCTTTTAAGCTTCCTTAGAGTAATCACAACTTTCTGCCTTTTATTTGTTTTACCATATAAACAGCTGTCATGGGACTCAGGATGCAAGACCATATGAAGATACTTTTCATGAAGTCAAAATCTAAACTTCTGTGGGCATCCTGAMCCTATGCTAATTTGAAGAACAAACACACCCTGCTTTTTAGCCRTGCTCATGCAGGAAAGCAGCTCAGATTCTGCAAGAGATGGTGCAAAGTAATATTCTAGCCAGCAGAGGACTGTAGAACCACACACACAGTCAGTGATGCAGAAATGTTGTCACAGAGCAAAGGGAAAATCCATGTAGCAAACAATGCAGAGCAGAGATTCTCTTAAAATACTGAATTCTTTACATGGTTACATGGTAAAATAAGTGAAAAGTGAGGGCTCCTTCCATTATTTGGTCCTCACRAGGGAATTTAATTTGCCCTTCATCTTCATTGACCAAGTAGGGCTATTTTATTTTTATTTTGAAGAGCACTGTGGAGTGCTGCGCGAGGCAAGTACACGGCACCTTTGGGGTGTCACGGCACTGCGCACACAGAAATGGTGCAATCCCTAGAGGCAAGTCACGGCGCTTTGTTGTGAACATCATTTCTGCAGAAACAAATAGCACAACCTCCTATGCAGTTTATGTAATACAAAATAGGCCATATGTTGCTTTGAGAGTTTGGGTGTCGAATGTTGTTTAATGAATATTCAAACCAATTTCTTCAAAGGTTGTGCTCAATGTAGCCTTTTTTTCCTCACCTTAGATCTCACATGGAGTACTAAGGTGTTACAAGAGCACTAAAACAGAGGCATCTCACTGAAATTTAGACTGCCTTATTTATACAATTCCCTGCCACTTGGGCCTGTAATCTATGAGGCCTTGGTCACCAAGGCCAGGAATGGGGCTGTGAGGCTGCTTTGACCCGGGAAGGACTTCACCCTCACGATCGGGTCAATGAATCTGCTCTCATGGTGTGTTTATTGTCATTCATTTCTTCCAAATCTTTAATTCATAATAGCACTCTGCTGCAGGGCTAAATGTATACTTTTCCAAGGAAGTCCTTTTAAGAGAAGAAGTTTAATGGGTATCTATATTTTGAGGAACTGTATCTTCAAGTCCAGAAATGACTTTTTTAATGGCTTAGAAAAAAAATTCTCCTTAGAAGACAGCTGGAATGTAAAYGCAAATCATAATAATTGCCATTTATGTGTTTTCATGAGGGTTCTTGAGATACTTGTCTTTACTGCACAAGTGCAATATTGTAGATATACAGTGAAGCCCTCTTCAGAGAATAATTGATACATGGTTAAAATGCTTAAGAGCATTTCCTAATACTGTAAAWAGAAATGAAGACCTAAGCTTATTATATGAGCAAAACAAACATAAAACCTCTCATTTGTCATAATACTCTTACTAAAGCTCTCACGGCCTAACATTCTACTCTACCTAATAAAGCATCCATTAGGGCAAGACCAGGACAAGAAATAGTAGTGGCGTGAAATAGTTCTTCCCAATTTTAATATTTATTTTCTTTATGGAGCCAACACCAAGAACAGAAGAGCAGTGGGAAAGTTCATTATTTGCAGCCTGCAGTATAATGAAAAGAGAATTTTCCCAAAACCTTGGAGATGGGATAATCACTAAGCATAATGGGGCCAGAAAAGCACCAGCTTCAGTTAGCTCAGTATATTCCTTCAGTTTCCAAAATTTTATKTATTTAAAGTTGTAACTAAAGTACAGGTGGACAGAATCACCGTCCCGGGGATATCCAGGGTACTGGAGTCTGTCTGCTTTCATGTTTCTGGTGCCCTCAGTGAGCTGGTGTCCTGCCAGGTTGGTCTTCACCATTCAGGCCTCGGGGTCTGTTTGGTTTCCCTCCCTCCTGTCTTTCCAAGGGCTCCCTCACTTCCCTGCACTTCTGCAGGTACARCCTATGGAAACTACAGAGAGAAAACGGTTCTCCAAGCACAGGGAAATTGAGACAGCCTGTATTTTCTTTCCTATTATGCTTTAAAATATACTAGCTCTTTCTTCCACACCTTTCTTCTTGTCAGATGTGACAAACACGAAGTGTCCCCAAGGAGAAAACAAACACTTGCTGTGATATGCAAACAGGCCGGGCGTTCCTGACATCACTGCTAACGCACAGCGTTTCAACAGCAATTTAAAAGCCTTTCTCCTGCACCTTATGTCTTCTCTTTCTGGCTCTCCAGCTTCTTCCAAGTTTGTCATATTAATGTGACATCCACCTTTTGGACTGCAAAGCGGCGCTGTGCTCTCTTTCTGTAGCACTGCGCATGTCTAGAACAGACAAATATTTTTGCATCCTCCGTACAGCTGTATAAGAAAGATGAAAGGGAACGCGGAGAACAATTGTAYATCACGGATCTAGTCCTCAGGACAGGAACGACGCGATGCTGTTGACAAACTGTCGAAACACTAAATTTGTGGTGTTGTATGGATGAAAGAGAGAATGCAAATGAAGGATAAGGAC